AAAGTAACTTGACAAAACATGAACTCAATTAACGCACATTTAAGATTCTCAATTTTATCAAAACCCTTACCTCTTGATACGTCACTGAACACATTTTTATTCCACGCCCTGGAACAAATTAAATATTCTTATATCCCATATTTTAAACAGAATATTTTTTTACATCATACTTATATTGAGTCACTTTCATCCCCCCTCCCCCCCCCCANGGAATTTTTTTTATGAGATATATTTAATATATATATATATATATATTAATTATATATACATATATATATATATATAAAGCACATAATTATGTTGCATCAATAAAAAAAATAGTTGTATTATTTAGCGTAGTTAACGGGAATGACATCTTACTCGATATCGAGCTCATTATTAAACCGTAATTACTTTCAAGCACACAGAAGTATTTGTACCATAATCTCAATGTTAAATTCGGTTATTAGGAAGCCGTCCATGAGTAACAGAAGAAGCGTCAAATAATTAAGAGATTTGCCAACCATCCTTTTGAAGGATATTTATGGAAGACAAGGGATGGATGGATGGTCTTAGGGGAAGGAAGTGGCGAGGCTGGCCAAAGCCCTAAATGCGCTGTAGTGCCAAAGGGATGGATGGATGGTCTGACGACATTTTATCAAAGTTTTTTGTTTGTTTTATGTCCTCTGTTAGTCTTTGCTTGTTCGCCTAAGAAGTCTTCTTGCCTGACACGTTCATTGTTTTATTGCTTTAGTTTGTGCTCAGGTTTGCCCATACTTTGTTTCACATATTTCATTCTACCTAAACCTGATTGTAGACTCGACACCATTATCATCATAATTTTTTTTTTAAAAAAGCTAGTTAGAAATCCGAACCTGCATGGGCAACGAAGGCCTGGTATCTGCAAAGATGGGGGGGGGGGGGCAAAACAGTGAGATGTTGGTGGTGTTGGAGAGACTAAGGTAGTGTGATGATCGGTTTTCAATAGCCCCACGCTCCGTGCAAAGCCCAAGATGTAAAGGCGCTAATTCATTAAGTGCTGTTGAAAACCCTCAACATCGCACACACGGGCCACGGCTGTATTGGAAATACCGCATGTGCTTTTTCAGCCGGATGGCCGGTCTGATAACGGCTTTTATCAGACTGGAAAGGTACCCGTGCGTCGCGTGGCCTCTCCGCGTGAAATCTTTTTGTCACGAAATAAAGAACCATTATCGTCATTTTCGGTGTTTGCATTGTCATGTTCATGGTTTCTAGTCACATCCTGATATGTCTTGCGAATCAGATTGGTCAAAGGTTAAATCCAAAGCTCAACGTCACGGTTTGCGGAGTTATCTCCTCCCGGAACTTAGAAGAGTTCCGAAACATGACGATCACCATCACGGTCCACCTGCAGATGACGTCATTTGCAATCGTAACCGTCTCGCCTCTAGGCATGATCAACGCACTTGCCAGATCTCCAAATGGAGGGAGGTCATCCGTCGGGAGTACAGGAAAGAAAAGAAACTGGTCATTTTGGATTATTATTCTGACGCAAAAACAGTTTCAGTTAATCATTTTTTATAGTTATCAAATATAAATGTAGTTGTAATAGAGAATGAATGACACACACTCTTCTGTGTTCGGTGTAACAACTGGCCTTTTATCCTAAATTATACACCCTCTACATTCATGATCACTCATTCCACTTGTCCCACATATTGAAGTTTAAAACATTCGTGAATTAAAAACAACTAACGACGTCCATTGATACCACCTAACAACAACACAGGCCAATCAGGTCACCAACTTCACTCACTACTCACAATAATAATCGTCAGTAAAACAGTCACAGTAGTTTAATATGCACATACATCAAACTAACTAGGCATATTTTGTCACAAACCTACATAGAACGAGGTGAGCGTGATAGCGCTCACTCTTACCTTGACCCAAACACTTCAGGGCTCAGCCCATCTGGAGGTCAAAGAGAATGCATCACCACATTAGGAACTGTCTCCCCGTCGAGACGAGCCACTGGTCAATACTTAAATCAAGCGTTTATTTGATACCCTGTTCCCACCCATCTCAACTCGTACAAGAACTATGAAGTATTTAATATGCACGCTTTAAGGGGTGTAGTTGTTACGTCATTGTGTTGGCTAGACTTCCGTTTTTATACTTTTACTCCTTCAATTCAACAACTGTAATTATATGTACTGACAGTTTAGTTCACAATTCAGTTTGAAAGTTTACCCCGAAAAATTAGTTTAAATAGCTTTTAACATTACAGTGATGTATTATTTATTTGATAAACTTTTTTTTTTTTTTTTTTTGTTTGCTTCCTTCCGTCCCAATGTTATGATGGAGTGGGCTTCGTAGGACAAAATCCACATAGCCTGGGATTATTATACTTGAAGGATTATAAGCTGGTTCCCAACAGCAAATCGCCTCTCTCCACGCCGCTGGGTAACCCAAGGGAACATCATTGGATGATACAGCTTGGCACCAGTGACGTCGCAGGAGTTGTCGGAATGTTTCATTGTATCAATGTTATCCGCCTTTCGGGACTCCATCTCCGGGTTTGATTTCAGAGTTTCCTTCTCTTAGATGAGTTGCCGTCCAAGGTTAACGAGTCCCATCTACCCGGGGTGCTGGTGGTGTTTTTGCTCTAGCTGGAATTGAACTCCAGACCACCAACTTGAGATTTGCTCAGTTTAGACCACTCGGCCACCCAGCACCCGACTTATCACGCGTGTACTCCAAAAAAAAAAATCCTTTATGTGTAACCAGTGGCAACGCCATCAAATTTACCATGGCGGGTCCCTTGCAGGTCTTAAAAAAATTTGGCGGGTCCCAAATAAATGAATTAAAAATAAAAATTTAAACATATAAAGACATTTAAAATGGAAGTTCTCTTACATGTAATGTAGTTTACGCTTAATGAGCATATATACAATATTAGTAACTAATAAAAATTGACCAGGTCATTTGCTAGGTCCCAAGTTTTTTTACCAGGTCCTGGGACCCGGCGGGACCTGGTGTAGCGTCGCCACTGTGTGTAACAATGTTAAAATTCTTAGCATTCATCAAGTCGGAAAAAAAGGACGTGCACGGGAATATAGCTTGTCATTTAATGAAAAATCATTGCAGACATAATTCACCAATTGATAAAAAGGCAGCAATCTTGTTTGGTCCGGACACTATATTTACGAGTCTTTACTTTTCCAAAGTAAATCTTTTATTACAGCTGTAACCCAGAGTCGTAATAGAGGAATTGGTGTTTAACGGTTAAATTTTAACGTCTATATCGATATCAAAAAGGTAAGAACTGTCAAATTAAATTCGACCTCGACACATTCCGGGTTTTCCTCCGCCCCCCCCCAAAAATGTTGTGAACGAGAAAGAGAACAAACAAAATGAAACAATGGTTTTAGTCCCACGGCGCCCCCAACCATTAGGATGACGAACACATTCGCCATTATAATGAATGGGCGGACACGAAATCTTTCACTGTTATTACATTATTAAAAATTAGAGGCTAAATGTCTTAGAAGGTTTAATAGGTATCTCTGTAGTCCATTAAATGGTATTTACTAATAATAAGTCAGCAGAACTAACTATCGATTCATGGAACACACTACCCCCGTTGGGAAATCAGCTGAAATATTAATTGCTTATACTTATTTTCATTTCTTTTTTTTTTAAATAATATAAAAAGTACTTTTTTTTTTACAAAGCAAAAGTAATTTTATATTTTCCCGCTTGTAATTTTATCGACACTTCATTAAATGGGAGATGGCCTTGTATAAAAATACATCTATACTCCGTTCATAAGTTCACAGAACCAATATGAAGTTTTTCATCAATTTTCTGTGTGGCCCTCTTTAAGGTTTATAACCACGATATGATAAAGTCAAGTCAATAAAAATTGCATTTTCAGAAGAAAAAAACTCTCAAACTGAGTTCAGTCTAGTTACCATGAAGTCTAAATCATTATGCTCAGTCATTATAAAGGATTTGTGAAATTTTAAAAAGATGTGTCTGAGATTATTTAGGGTGGGAAAAAAATACATTTCGGACCATGGGAAATGCCTGGATCCACGGTCGTGTTTTCCTGATATAAGCTTTACAAAGAAATAAACAATCATGATTTGGCTCTGCGTCCAGGTCGGCGATGAAGGTTTAATGTTTAGTATTTCTTGGTGCACAAACATGTAACGTCATTCCTGTGCGCGGTGCGTATTGCTTTGTCCATGACATGAGGACACTGTGTGGAGTGTTTCTTTACTTTGACGTCAGAACGTTGTTAAATTCATCGTTATTGAAAATGCATTCCTAGACCTGAGGTGGGCAACTTTTTTTTTATTATTCCGAAATAGCCAAATTTTTGGTGAATGAAAAGTAAAATTTCGCATCTCTACATATAAATCATCCAAACACCTGTTAAATCAAATATCCTCTGTTTTGGTTAACTTATGATTGTAGCCGCAGTACAGAACAAGTTAAAGACATTGGAAATAGTCAATTGTCTTGGATTGTTTCTTAGTGTTTTGTTTGTTTTTTTTAAATATTTTTTTACATTTTTTTATGTAACTTTGAATTAAACTCGACATTCTAAGGAAGAAAAAAAAACCATTCACATTTAAGTTGATTTAGCTTATAATACAAAAACCAGCTAAATAATTTACCAGAAAAATATTTCATTATTACATCAAGGATCACTTTAATATGTGAGGCGTTTTTTTTTATTCCTTTGAAAACTGTATTCATGTTTTTTAGATCTGGTGATTGTGAATTAAATTTTACAAAAGTTTTCTTGCATGCTCAAAAAAAATATTTAAAAAATTTAAAGACAGTTTCAAAATCCGCCAACGTTAAGTTTACTTCACTTAAAACGTATCTATTTCCAGTACACAAAGTATAAAAGAATGTGTTAGGGGGAAAAAAACATGTATGTTCATATAAATTCATTGGTAAATCTTCAAATCTTAAAACGATTTACCATGCGCATGAACAACATCAGCACCGGAAGTCTCGACATGGAAATTGCGTCACAGCCAATCGTAAGTGACGGCGTTTTGCAGTCGTTTCAAATTTGTCTGGGAATAACCGAGTTGGTTGCGGGTGTCTTGGGGGTGGCGTTCAACATCATCAACATGATCGTGTTCTTTCGACTAGGTCTCTCGGACTCGACCAACATCTCGCTGGCTGGTCTCGCCCTGGCGGATATCGGGGTCTCCCTGACCATGCTGTGCTACGGCGCCTTGAATAATCCACTCGTGTTCCGGACCGTGTCTGCACTGGACGCCGTAGATGCCGTCAGATACATAGTACTGGGGATTTCCCACATCCTGTTTAGCCGAATAGCCGGTCTGCTGACGGCTTTTATAAGCCTGGAAAGATTCTTATGCGTTACATGGCCCCTGCACGTTAAATCCATCGTCACGACCCAAAGAACGATCTTCGTAGTTTTAAGCGTTTACGTTTTCATGGTGTCCGGTAACATTCCTACGTGGCTAGTGAACCGGATAGGTCAGAGGTTAAACCAAAGGCTAAACGTCACAACCGTAGGACTTATTTCCTCTCCGAATGCTGAAGAGCTGGAAAACATAACGATCGTCATCAACGTAACCGTCCAGATGACGTCATTTGCCATCGTCGTCGTCTCGACTGCATGCATGATAAACTCTCTGCGCAAAGTCGCCGAATGGAAAAAATCCTCAAACCTCTTCACAGGTCACACGTCCAGCAGAGACAAGCAGCTGGTCAGGATGGTCGTTTTGATATCGGCTGTCTTTATCGTCTGTTCCTTCCCGTCCGTGCTGGTCAACGGTGTTATGCCGTTTTTCAAGGAGTTTAAGATCAAGGGACGAGAGAAGAACCTGTTCATCGTGACGACTGGTTTCTGCTTCATGTCACAGCTGGTCAACGCTATCGTTAATATTTGTATTTACTTTTCAATGAGTTCAAGATTCCGTCGCACCTGCCTAGTTATGTTTAAGTTTAAGTCGAAAATAGGAAAAAAGGATACAAATGTATTAATTTAGAAATGAACTCTTCAATGCCGTTTCTAGAAGTAAAAATGATACCCGAAATTTCCTAAAAGTAATATTACTTCAAATTGCTGAACAGTCATGAACCAATTTTCATACTCTTGCATTAAACGAGAGTTTTTGGGTTATAATTTGAAAAACGAAAGACACATATTGCTTAGCCCTGTATCTATCACAACTTGATCTATATTACTATATTTCATTATGTCCTTGATCTATTAGGCTAAAATATTAATAGACTTTATTGTTTACCGAACTAACTTGTCTCAAAAACTTCATTTCTTTAACCCAACTTTCTTGATTTCGTCTCCTTTGGGAGGATTCCGGTGGTGTAATCATGGATAAGACAAAATATCCGTATTTTTTTTTTACTCTCCTAAAACAGTTTATTCATCAGCAATAGTGCCAGATTCAGTGCAATATTGATTTGTTTAATTTTATTTTTCGTGTCATATTTTTTTAAATAGGATAAACATAAAGGGATTATTCTCCCTTTACTCAAATCCCTTAAATTTGTGTCATAGAAGAAAAAAAATTCTCTTCTGCACATATTTGGCACCATCACAGCAAAAAAGCAGTCTAGACAGTTTAGATATTTATTCCATGTTATTTCTCTCAGTCATTCGACACAGCATCACACTTGAAACAGAACACGATCATCTGGCTAAAAGGCCGTATATATCATCAACAGCAACAAAAATTGGGTTCACAAATTTTTTTTCTAAAACAATTTATTATAACCTAATTTTCTGGCTGGAAGTTTATTTTAGAGGAAATACTCCATGGTACAAAGTTCCTTTCAAACAATTTACCATTGGAAAATATTTCGTCTCGAAGAGCATTCCTCGGAACAAATTCCTTTCGAACACAATGTTCGATTTCTTTGATAAAAAAGTTTGACCGCTTTAGCATCACATTCCACACATTCAAGATTTTAATTCGTTCTTGTTTTTTTTTTTTTTACTCTTAATATCAGCGTACTAAGAGTCTGAGATAGAACGAAATATTTACGCGCACCGTCATTGTACATAGATCCCTTATATTAACATCGAACGGTACATATATTCCTTAGATCAACATTGAATAGTACATATATCCCCTTACATCAACACAAAATGGTACATATATCCCCTTACATCAACACAAAATGGTACATATATCCATTACATCAATATCGAATGGTACATATATCCCCTTACATCAACACAAAATGGTACATATATCCCTTACATCAATATCGAATGGTACATATATCCCCTTACATCAATATCGAATATATATCCCCTTACATCAATATCGAATGGTACATATATCCTTTACATCAATATCGAATGGTACATATATCCCCTTACATCAACACAAAATGGTACATATATCCCCTTACATCAACACAAAATGGTACATATATCCCTTACATCAATATCGAATGGTACATATACCCCCTTACATCAACACAAAATGTTTCATATATCCCTTACATCAATATCGAATGGTACATATATCCCATTACATCAACACAAAATGGTACATATATCCCCTTACATCAACACAAAATGGTACATATATCCTTTACATCAATATCGAATGGTACATATATCCCCTTACATCAACACAAAATGGTACATATATCTTTTACATCAATATCGAATGGTACATATATCCCATTACATCAACACAAAATGGTACATATATCCCCATACATCAACACAAAATGGTACATATATCCTTTACATCAATATCGAATGGTACATATATCCCCTTACATCAACACAAAATGGTACATATATCCTTTACATCAATATAGAATGGTACATATATCCCCTTACATCAACACAAAATGGTACATATATCCTTTACATCAACACAAAATGGTACATATATCCTTTACATCAATATACAATGGTACATATATCCCCTTACATCAACACAAAATGGTACATATATCCCCTTACATCAACACAAAATGGTACATATATCCCCTTACATCAACACAAAATGGTACATATATCCCCTTACATCAACACAAAATGGTACATATATCCCCTTACATCAACACAAAATGGTACATATATCCCCTTACATCAACACAAAATGGTACATATATCCCCTTACATCAACACAAAATGGTACATATATCCCCTTACATCAACACAAAATGGTACATATATACCTTACATCAACACAAAATGGTACATATATCCTTTACATCAATATCGAATGGTACATATATCCCCTTACATCAACACAAAATGGTACATATATCCTTTACATCAATATCGAATGGTACATATATCCCCTTACATCAACACAAAATGGTACATATATCCTTTACATCAACACAAAATGGTGCATATCCCCTTACATCAACATCGAATGGTACATATATCCCCTTACATCAACATCGAATGGTACATATATCCCCTTACATCAATATCGAATGGTACATATATCCCCTTACATCAACATGGACATGATAAGACGTTGCTTTAAATGTAACGAACCTATACATCTTAGATACATCAGGTGATTTTTCCTCTTCTTTTAATTTTTAAAAATATATAATTTTTTGGTTACAAATTTAAAACCAGGTGTCACAATCAAAATCTTTTGTAAATCCAAACAGAGGCGTGCTGGTTCAACAAATTACCAATAGTGACTATACCAGTCACGATCAAAAGAATAATAGTTAAAATTTGACATACGAGCAAATCCTCATGCCGAACATACTCAAATCGAAAACCCAGGAATGTATCATATTATGTATTTCAAAACTATCTTCTCGGTAAACTTCTTTACTTTGTTAAGTGTTATCACACTATGACCAAATCTTCTTACATAAATCATATCGTGAATCGACTGTCAACATTTCTTATGTCCTCCCTGCTCCTTTCTCATTGGCTAGTTTTTTTCAAGTCCCAATACTCTGTATATTACGTATGTAATATTTCACATATTAGTTATCTCCCATATATTCCTATCTGTGACACCGGGGCATTTACAATTTACAAATATATATACAAGACATTGCCAACCAATTTCGCTTATCCGACTACTATATGATGCATGTCATCATTGCCCTTAAAACGCATCCTGCATGTTGAACACAACTCTACATATCAGCCTACGTTGAACACAACGCTACATGTCGGTCTACGTTGAACACAACTCTACATGTCGGCCTACGTTGAACACAACGCTACATGTCGGCCTACGTTGAACATAACTCTACATGTCGGCCTACGTTGAACACAACTCCAATGACAGTGAAACAAAACTCCCATGAGATTTAAGCGCAACGCCTGTTTTTTTTTTCTGTTTTTCTACGTTGAACACAGCGCTAAATTTCGGCCTACGTTGAACACAACGCCATATGTCGGCCTACGTTGAACACAACGCCATATGTCGGCCTACGTTGAACACAACGCTATATGTCGGCCTATTTTGAACACAACGCAATACATCATGAACTTAAACACAGTGACATAGGGCAATAAATTACAACACTTACGAAACTTAAACATATCGTTTTGATCTGCACGGCAAACACGGATCTTATGCAATTTGAACACACTTTATTCAATTCATATATAAAACAATTTTTCGTTAAGAAATCCATTTGTCATAAAAATGTGTGGTCTATATATCTATTTCCAGAGCAACGTGGTGTTCCACCACTTATCTCATGTACATTACAAGGGCAATGCGATGGTCCATCATTAGTCGTATCTCAGGTTTATTACAAAGGAAATGTGATGAACCATCATTAGTCTTATCTGAATTATAGTAAAAGGGCAATGTGATGGTCCATGAAGAGTCTTATCTCAAGAATATTACACGGCCAATGTGATGGTCCAACATTAATCTTATCTCAAGTATATTACAAAATAAATGCAATGAACAATCATTATTTGTATCTCAAGTACATTACAAGGGCAATGGGATGGTCCATCATTAGTCTTATCTCAAGTACATTACAAGGGCAATGTGATGGTCCATCATTAGTCTTATCTCAAGTACATTACAAGGGCAATGTGATGGTCCATCATTAGTCTTATCTCAAGTACATTACAAGGGCAATGTGATGGTCCATCATTAGTCTTATCTCAAGTACATTACAAGGGCAATGTGATGGTCCATCATTAGTCTTATCTCAAGTACATTACAAGGGCGATGTGATGGTCCATCATTAGTCTTATCTCAAGTACATTACAAGGGCGATGTGATGGTCCATCATTAGTCTTATCTCAAGTACATTACAAGGGCGATGTGATGGTCCATCATTAGTCTTATCTCAAGTACATTACAAGGGCGATGTGATGGTCCATCATTAGTCTTATCTCAAGTACATTACAAGGGCGATGTGATGGTCCATCATTAGTCTTATCTCAAGTATATTACAAGGGCGATGTGATGGTCCATCCTTAGTCTTATCTCAAGTATATTTCAAGGGCAATGTGATGGCCCATCATTAGTCTTATCTCAAGTATATTACAAGGGCAATGTGATGGCCCATCATTAGTCTTATCTCAAGTATATTTCAAGGGCAATGTGATGGTCCATCATTAGTCTTATCTCAGGTCTATTACAAGCTCGCTGTGAGTGTATTTGGCATATCGAAAAATCCCTGCATAAAAAATAATATTTAGCCATTTAAAAATTACACTCGAAAAGGACACCCAACTGACAGACGAGTCAAGTTGAATGAAAAGCTTTCAGGGTCACTGTCTCTTTAGAACTGAATCTTGTTTATTTTATGATTCAACTTTCAAACATTTAAATAAAATTACCAAATGAAAGTGTTGCGCTTTTTCCCAGAGTCGTTGAATAGATAACACAAAGCTGCTCGAAGTCAGCATCGTTTTGTCCTTTGTAAGTATTTTATTTACGGTTGGCTCATTATTACAAATGCTTGTAGTGATAATTTAATCACGTGCTCTGGTTGATGATGCTATTGGCCGGCTGCGTTGTCGTTGGTTTTTTGTTTCCAGTCTGAATTACAATTTTCATTTGACATTAAAATTCGCTTAATCCACGACTGCCGTTGTCCAAATAATCATACATATATATATATGCAAATTATATAAATATATAAAGGTGAATTTTTCTTTTGTTTGTGGATTTGTTCCACATTTGTTTATAGATGGATAGATGGATCTTGAACAATGCTGTAGCGGTAACTCTAATCCAGTCAAGTTTAGATGACTGTAACAGTGGTTTGTGGGGTTTACCTCAGAACCAAATTCAGAGACTCCATAAGGTACAAAATGCTGCAGAAAGCATTGTATCGTGGATTAAGAAATCTGACATCAGCCCAGTTCTAGGAGATCTCCATTGGGTTCCTGTGAGTGAGCACATTTACTACAAAATTATGTCAGTGGCGTGCAGCTGCATAGAAGGCCCTGTGCAACGAAATATCTTCAACACAGTCCTTACTGAAAATTACCAGTGGGGATTAACACAGAAAAAGTCTTACGGAGTGCGCTCTTTTGAAGCGATAGCGCCAAAATTATGGAATAGTTGCTTCAATCTTTGATGTTTGTTTAATTAGATTTTATAAAATCAGTACGCAGTGAGCTTGCTAAAGTAGCATGGATACCAGCGCTCTATAAATATCCAATCAATCAATGAATGATCATAACATGGAATCGTTCATCAAATAATTCCCTTAGAATTTCTCTTAGAACTAACACATCCTTGTACGATTACCATTTTTGTCCATTAACCGTATTTTGCAATACATCAGAGCTCCGCAACCAGTGTGACGCAGTGCATGCATGGTGTGCTGCAAGATAGAGTCAGATGTAGTAAGAAAAGCAAAAAGTTTAAAATTGTCAGCAAGTGAATATGATAAAATAGTATATCAAAATATGGAATATTGTTTAGCCTAATTCTTCTTCTTCTTCTTCTATATCTTAAGGGCCCACGATCAATTTATTGATCATTTTGGCTCCTATGCATGTAGATGGGATTTGCAATGTTTCTGTTACTGGTGGTAATTACCTAGCTGTCAAAATGTGCGATGTCAGAAAGCTGTCTAATATTGGACGATCTCAAAACTTTTAGATCTCGAAGCAATCTTTCAACGAATTCGGAGTACCCCAGGGCTCGGTCCTAGGCCCGTTGCTTTTCACACTGTACGTTCAGCCCGTGGGTGCAGTGATCAAGCAGTTTGACATGCTATATCACATGTTCGCGGATGACACCCAACTTCGGCAATCTGTGATCTTCTCTCAGTTCCCTCGGGTTCTTTGTATGACACAGAAGACAGTGGAGTCAGTTAAGCACTGGATGACTATAAACAAGCTTAAACTGAATGATGAAAAGACTGAGCTGATCCCCATTGCTACCGCTAAAAAGCTCAAATATATAAATAACACACAAACATTTGCTCTCTCAGGTGTACAGATTGAGTTTGCTAAATTAGTGCGAAACCTGGGTGTCTATTTAGACAGAGCACTAATATAACATTAACATTCTTTGCAAGGCGATTTTTCTAGAGCTGCGCAGACTTAGTCATATCAGACCTTTCTTAACATTAGATGCATCAAAGAAGCTGATATCTGCATTCGTGCTCTCACGCATGGACTACTGCAATGCTCTTATGGTGGGTCTTCCAGCTACGCTCCTAGATAAAATTTAAAAAGCACAGAATAATGCGGCTCGCATTGTTCTTCGCAAACGCAAATTTGACCATGCTAAAACACTTCTGAGACAGTTGCATTGGCTGCCGGTCAGCGCTCGCATAGAGTACAAAATTGCAACTCTGTGCTTCCGCTGCTTGCATGACCTGGCACCGTCATATCTCAAAGAGCTGCTGACGCCTCATGTACCCACTAGACAACTCCGCTCATCTGATAGTGGCAAACTCTCGATACCACGTGTTCGCCTTGAGACTTACAAGGGGCGTATTTCGCATTTAATGGCCCAACGATTTGGAACACCCTTCCTGTCGCCCTCAGAAACAAGCCAGTCACTGGAGTCTTTCAAAACTTATTTGAAGACATATCTATTCGCAAATACCTGCGGGGATGATGTTGTCGATCTAGCTATTATCTTGTGGATGTGTATTGGCCTGTGTTGTTTATGTTTGTTAGGTATGAAAGCCTTAGAATGGGTATTCTCGTATAGCTTTTGCAAAATTGCATTTTGTATTTCAATGTGGTACATTATAGATTGTTTATTTATCTTTTAATATACTAGACTCTGTACCGCGCTTCGAGCTTTTGGGGATGAAGCGTGATTTTCCAATTAACTTTATTATTATTATTATTAACACGTCAAATGTTTAAAATTTTACTAGAATAAATGATCCGATGTAATCGGGTACTAATGGTAGGTCCTTTGCGATAATTTCTACCTGCAATTGCAAAAACTCATCACAATTCATAACTTTTAAAAGAAGTATTAATGTAAGGATATTTACGTTACTAACATCATTAAGTTTTGAGAAGTTTTTATCTGCTTTATATTATACTCCCTTCTCATTACACGAACCTAAACTACATTTCCTCCTCTAAACATGATCTAAAATTACCCAATCTAAATTGTCACTGATTATATCACGTTTGTCACTAAATAAGTTAATAGAGAGACCATTTCGAGTCTAGAGAAATACTTTAGATTTATCCTAGTCGTCCTTGTTAGAACGTACCGGTGTATACTGTGTGGGCCAAATGTCCTAGTCACCCTTGTTAGAACGTACCGGTGTATACTGTGGGGGCCGAATGTCCTAGCCTTCTGTGTAGAACGTACCGGTGTATAACACGTTGGTCGAATGTCGTCGACATTTCTTGATGGAACGCAACGATGTAGTCATGTAGTCGTCTTTGTTAAAGTTTTGACTTGTCCTAGTCGTCATTGAAGACTTGGTTGCTCTGAGTCAACTAATGGATACAGGCGATCAATAGTTCACAAAAAATACAAAGATTAAATGTGAAGCGAACAAACATGGAAAATCCGAAGGTAATTTTGACGATAAAATTATCATGAATGTAGTAATGAGAATCTTTCACTGTTATTAAAATAGTTGATATTGAACAGGACAAAATTATGGGTAATTTTTTTTAAACCCACATCATGCTTAAAGGTTATACACTTATCATCAATAGATTCATGGGGCACAGTCCACACCCCCTACCCCCTTTTTTTCAAAATAAAAATAAAATATATATACATACTAATACTGATTTAAAAATACAGTTACAATTATAGATCCCTTCTTTAAACCTGATGATAAGTAATATTCAGCAATTCGAATATCTTTATGTTTTTGTTTTAATTATCATATTTCTGGCACTATATAATTTTATAGACCTGCATTAGTGACGCCATGGGGACACCAACAAAATATAAACATCATTCACTGACACTGTCTTTTCTAAGTTGCCATTGGCCGTCTGAATAATGTGCTTCGAAACACTGATTAGATGATGTCACATAAATTCATCTGAGATTGCTCAAAACAAAACTCTCGATTTCCCTTTTTAAAACTCTATAGAGACCATGTGACGTGTTTCATCCAGTCGTAAGGACGCCACTAAAAATATATATTAAAGACATTGGTAAGAAAACCGCATTGATCATTCAAAAAGTAATAATAGCAACAATTGAACATTCCATAAGTTGAAAATAATTTCGTTTATTATAAGGGATCCAAAATTCTCACATTTTGAAATGTTTTGTATTACACTTACAATTACTTTGAGGTATCACGGTCATCAAAATTATGACACAAAGCTTCAATATGGAAAAATTAAAATAATAGTATTTTCATAAACGACAGTCTCCAATTAAATCACGACTTGAAAAGTCTGAAAATATTAATCTCTTTTTTTTATACAATGTAAAGATTAACTTTGTCAGAAAAAATCGTTTAAAACATAAAGTATACAAGGACCGCACAACCTTGGACATGAACAAAAAGTACTGGACATTCTACCATGAATGCAAGCACCTTCAACGCCGGAAGTTCCTATCAAGCCACTACGTCACAGACCATCATAAGTGACGCCTTGCTTCCGTTATTTCAACTCTACCTGGGGATAACCGAGTCCGTTTTCGGTCTTCTAGGTTTGACGTTGAACATCGTCACCATAATCGTGTTCATTCGATTGGGTCTCTCGGACTCGACCAACATCTCGCTGACCGGTCTCGCCGTGGCGAACATCGGGGTCTCGCTGACCATGATGGGCTATGGCGCTTTGAACAATCCCCTGGTGCTGAGGACCGTGTCCAACGTGGAAACTATAGAAGCGGTCAGATTGCTATTATTGGGGATACCGAACGTGCTTTTCAGCCGGATAGCCGGTCTGATAACGGCTTTTATAAGCCTGGAAAGGTTCCTGTGCGTCGCGTGGCCTCTCCACGTTAAATCTCTTGTCACAAAACGAAGAACCATCTCCGTCATCTTCGGTGTTTACATGTTCATGGTGTCTAGTCACGTCCCGATATGGCTTGCGAATCAGATAGGTCAAAGGTTAAATCCGCAGATCAACGTGATGGTTGTCGGAGTTATCTCCTCCCAGAACGCGGAAGAGCTCCGAAACGTGACGATCACCATCACGGTCGCCGTGCAGATGACGTCATTCGCCGTCGTCGCCGTCTCGACCCTGTGCATGATCAACGCACTGCGCAGAATCACCGAATGGAGGAAGGTCGTCATCAGTCAGGAGTCCAGGAAAGAAAAGCAACTGGTCAAGATGGCCATCTTGATATCGGCCGTTTTCATCGTCTGCTCCTTCCCTTCCGTTCTGGCCAATACCGTCATGCCATTCTTTAAGGAGTTCAGGGTACAGGGCCGCGAGAAGAATTTTTTTATGGTTTCCGGCGGATTCTGTTTCACGTGTCAGCTGGTCAACGCCACGCTCAACACGTTTGTGTACCTGGCCATGAGCTCACGTTTCAGAGACAATGTTTATGTCGTCTTTGTTTGTCAAACTAGAAAACGTTAAAATTGAATCTAGATTTTTTTTGTGTTTATTTTGACGCCAATGACACTTTCAAAGTCTACGGGCGTTTATTTTTTCTCTTGAAATTGTCGTTGCGCATATTTTAGTTAGAAGTACACACCAGTGAAATATTACTTGTTCCTACAGCATGTGAGTCTAGAATATATGGGCACAGAGCATATGAGTTAGAATATGTGAGCCACGGATATATGAGTTAGAACATGTAAGCCTAGAACATGTGAGCATAGAGTATGTGACATAAATATGTGAGCCTAGATTATTTGACTTAGAATGTTGTGAGCGTAGAGTGTGTGAGCTTTGAAAATACGAGCATAGAGTCTGTGAGCTTAGAGTCTGTGAGCCTAGAGTCTGTGAGCCTAGAGTCTGTGAGCCTAGAGTCTGTGAGCCTAGAGTCTGTGAGCCTAGAGTCTGTGAGCCTTGAGTATGTTAGTAGTCAGATTGTTTATGGGCTTTACTCCGGCTTAGCTCGCGGTATAATTAAGAATAAAAAGCTAAGGGGTAGTTAATGTAAAGATTTGTAGGGTAGTAGTGTCAGTGTATGGGTTGTTTGGGTAGTAGTGTCAGTGTAGTAATGGATAGGTCAGTAATGTCAATGTTGGGGTGGGTGGATCTTTAGTGTCAGTGTATGGGTTGTTTGGGTAGTAGTGTCAGTGTAGTGGTGGGTGGGTCAGTAGTGTCAGTGTATGGGTTGTTTGAGTAGTAGTGTCAGTGTATCGGTTGTTTGGGTAGTAGTGTCAGTGTAGTGGTGGGTGGGTCAGTAGTGTCAGTGTAGGGTTGGGTGGGTCAGTAGTGTCAGTGTATTTGTTGGTTAAGGCGGTTGTGTCAGTATATTCTGTGGGTGGGTCCATAGTGTCAGTGTTAGGGTTCGTGGGAAAGTAGTGTCAGTGTAGGGGTGGGTGGGGAAGTAGTGTCAGTGTAGGGGTGGTTGGGGCAGTGGTGTCAGTGTAGGGGTGGGTGGGGCAGTAGTGTCAGTGTAGGGGTTGGTGGGGCAGTAGTGTCAATGTAGGGGTGGGTGGAGCAGTAGTGTCAATGTAGGGGTGGGTGGGGAAGTGGTGTCAGTGTATGGGTGGGTGGGGCAGTTGGGTGGGGCAGTAGTGTCAGTGTAGGGGTGGGTGGGGCAGTAAGTGTCAGTGTAGGGGTGGGTGGGGCAGTAGTGTCAATGTAGGGGTGGATGGGGCAGTAGTGTCAATGTAGGGGTTGGTGGGACAGTAGTGTCAATGTAGGGGTGGGTGGGGCAGTAGTGTCAATGTAGGGGTGGGTGGGGCAGTAGCGTCAATGTAGGCGTGGGTGGGGCAGTAGTGTCAATACAGGTATTTTAAGTGATGCCAACCCAGTAGATGGATGAGCGGAAAGGGATAGTCGATGGGGGTGGAATAATTAAAATTGGAAAAGTGGGTCGGGTTTGTTTTAACAAGGAAGAGAATAGATTGTAAATACAGTTGGAGTGATGGGATGGATGAGCTTGTGGGGTAGAAGACGTGGGGGGGGGCGGGATAAGGAAAAAATACGGGAAGTATCAGCAGAAGAGCCAGAGGATGTCTGGAGAAGATATGTAATGAAGCTTGAGGGGAAATGCAATGCAGCTATGGAAGAAATGTAATGAAGCCAGAGCGGAAATGTGATACATCTAGAAAGGAAGTATAATGCAGCTAGAGGGGAAATGGAATGCATCTAGAAAGGAAGTATAATGCAGCTAGAGGGGAAATGGAATGCATCTAGAAAGGAAGTATAATGCAGCTAGAGGGGAAATGGAATGCATCTAGAAAGGAAGTATAATGCAGCTAGAGGGGAAATGGAATGCATCTAGAAAGGAAGTATAATGCAGCTAGAGGGGAAATGGAATGCATCTAGAAAGGAAGTATAATGCAGCTAGAGGGGAAATGGAATGCATCTAGAAAGGAAGTATAATGCAGCTAGAGGGGAAATGGAATGCATCTAGAAAGGAAGTATAATGCAGCTAGAGGGGAAATGGAATGCATCTAGAAAGGAAGTATAATGCAGCTAGAGGGGAAATGGAATGCATCTAGAAAGGAAGTATAATGCAGCTAGAGGGGAAATGGAATGCATCTAGAAAGGAAGTATAATGCAGCTAGAGGGGAAATGGAATGCATCTAGAAAGGAAGTATAATGCAGCTAGAGGGGAAATGGAATGCATCTAGAAAGGAAGTATAATGCAGCTAGAGGGGAAATGGAATGCATCTAGAAAGGAAGTATAATGCAGCTAGAGGGGAAATGGAATGCATCTAGAAAGGAAGTATAATGCAGCTAGAGGGGAAATGGAATGCATCTAGAAAGGAAGTATAATGCAGCTAGAGGGGAAATGGAATGCATCTAGAAAGGAAGTATAATGCAGCTAGAGGGGAAATGGAATGCATCTAGAAAGGAAGTATAATGCAGCTAGAGGGGAAATGGAATGCATCTAGAAAGGAAGTATAATGCAGCTAGAGGGGAAATGGAATGCATCTAGAAAGGAAGTATAATGCAGCTAGAGGGGAAATGGAATGCATCTAGAAAGGAAGTATAATGCAGCTAGAGGGGAAATGGAATGCAGCTAGAAAGGAAGTATAATGCAGCTAGAGGGGAAATGGAATGCATCTAGAAAGGAAGTATAATGCAGCTAGAGGGGAAATGGAATGCATCTAGAAAGGAAGTATAATGCAGCAAGAGGGGAAATGGAATGCATCTAGAAAGGAAGTATAATGCAGCTAGAGGGGAAATGGAATGCAGCTAGAAAGGAAGTATAATGCAGCTAGAGGGGAAATGGAATGCAGCTAGAAAGGAAGTATAATGCAGCTAGAGGGGAAATGGAATGCATCTAGAAAGGAAGTATAATGCAGCTAGAGGGGAAATGGAATGCATCTAGAAAGGAAGTATAATGCAGCTAGAGGGGAAATGGAATGCAGCTAGAAATGAAGTATAATGCAGCTAGAGGGGAAATGGAATGCATCTAGAAAGGAAATTTAATGCAGCTAGAGGGGAAATGTAATGCAGCTAAAGCAGAAGTGTTATAGCTTGATGGGAAACGTAATGCAGCTGTACAGGAAATGTAATGCAGCTAGAGGGGAAAGTTATAACTTGAAGGGAAATGTAATGCAGCTATAGAAGAAGCGTGATGTAGCTAAAAGGGGTAAAAACGAGTAGTATTGCCTTGCAATATATAGAAATGCAACCATTTTAGTACAGAGCAAACAGCAACGTAACATTATCTTAGTTCATTGTGACTAATGATTGAGTGTCGAGGTACTGGAACAACGTCCACAACTGATGTTCTCATTGAAACTCTGTGATATGTGTATACATTCGTCGATGTTATGATATGTTTCTTTTCCACGTCTACAGACACACGCTTTCATCGAAAGTCATAATTTTACGGACACATGTTTTCATCTAAGTAAAAAGTTTACAGACACACGCTTTCCTCTAAGTCATAAGTTTACGGACACATGTTTTCCTCTAAGTCATAAGTCTACGGACACACGCTTTCATATAAGTCAAATTACAACACTGAATCTCCATACTGCAACTGTCGTGTGTACCCCAGATTCTTACACAGAAACATGCGTGTAAAAATAGTTCCCATAATACAGAGTCAATCTTTTTTTTTTTTTTTTTTTTTGGGCAATGGGTCCCTTTAAGCGATGAAAAAGTAAGTATTATGTACCCGTTTATTTAAGCGGTCGGTTAAAAGTCGGATTCGACTAGCTGTCAGAATGGTCTGTTTGTTTCAACATGCAATGAATGAATATAACAACAGTAAGACATCAATAATGCGGAGTGCCAAAAATCCAAATTGCCTGAGACAATAACCACAATGTCTTTGAGTTCTTTTTTTTTTTTTTTAAACCGAACGCTTTTTTTTTTTAAATTTGTAAAAATGACTTTCTTTTTTTAAAAATGCACGTTTATAACAGTAAACTTTTTTTCCCCAAGTCATAAAGTCATATGGTAAAATGTGACCTCAATATTTTCTAGATTTTTTTTAGCACATGCGGATAATTCGACAATCAGAAGGGGTTGTAACCACAGCTAGTCTGGATTATCGACCTCTTACTGTTTCACGGTGTATTGACAAGCGACCGTACTAGGGGGTAATGATGGTGAACACGTCGTTCTGTGAACTGTAGCGTTAAACAGTCTCTCGATGCCGGGCGAGAACTGATCAGACAGTAGTGAGGTATAAGGTGCTAGGAATGATCAGACAGAACAGAGGTACATGGTGGTAAGAAGGATCATACAGAACCGAGGTACATGGTGCTAAGAATGATCAGACAGAACAGAGGTACACGGTGGTAAAAAGGATCATACAGAACCGAGGTACACGGTGCTAAGAATGATCAGACAGAACAGAGGTGCACGGTGATAAGAAGGATCATACAGAACTGAGGTACACGGTGCTAGGAATGATCAGACATAACAGCGGTACACGGTGCTAATAATGATCAGACAGAACAGAGGTACACGGTGGTAAGAAGGATCATACAGAACTGAGGTACATGGTGGTAAGAAGGATCATACAGAACAGAGGTACACGGTGCTAATAATGATCAGACAGAACAGAGGTACACGGTTGTAAGAACGATCATACAGAACTGAGGTACACGGTGCTAAGAATGATCAGACAGAACAGAGGTACACGGTGGTAAGAAGGATCATACAGAACTGAGGTACACGGTGCTAAGAATGATCAGACAGAACAGAGGTACACGGTGGTAAGAAGGATCATACAGAACTGAGGTACATGGTGCTAAGAAGGATCAGACAGAACCGAGGTACATGGTGGTAAGAAGGATCATACAGAACTGAGATACACGGTGCTGAGAATGATCAGACAGAACAGAGGTACGTGGTGGTAAGAATGATCAGACAGAACAGAGGTACATGGTGGTAAGAATGATCAGACATGGTGCTAAGAATGATCAGACAGAACTGAGGTACACGGGGCGGAGAAGTATCAGATAGAACTGACCTAAAAGGTACTAAAA